AGTATAGTTTAATGATTCCAAGATTGTATTTGGTTGTGTTTTTTTTGGCACTACATGGACATTGGTGGTACTGATCAGTCCCATAGTTGGCTGAAAAACATTGGGACTTGTGATGACCAAAACAGATTCATATGACCATGATAAATGATTGTTCTGATTCTATAGTCTATTTTGTTTCTGTCTTTATTCCTTTCTTCAACTTTACAATGTTTCAAACACTGCACCCAAGAAGTAATTTGGTCAAAGCAATTTATCTGTTTTGTATATTTGTTTTATGTTTTACTGATCCAAGCAGTTTTTCACCATGTATTGAAGTTTAGTTAATGAGATTAAGTCATTGCTTCAGATGGGGCTTGCATCCTGTAATTGTGCATATTCACTGGCAATCATATCATCTAGTTTCTAATTTCTGTGGATTATGGTGATTATGTTGGCATAGCAAGAGAGGAAACTATATTGAAACAATTATTTTTTTTCCATGCCAGGTGATAATATTGAAATTACCAGTGTTAATAGACCAGAGGGAAGAGCTTTTGAATGGCTTTATGACCCCATGTGTATCATGAAGGAGCAAATTAGGAGTCTGGATTTACAGGAAACTGAAGAGTTGTATTTCCATAAGCTCTGTCTGTACAGTGGTGATACAAGAAGAATTGAATCTTGGCAGAATGGTGGCATTCCTCCTCGAGATGAGATTAGAAGAGCTCAGTTAGAGGGTATGAGTAGAAGGTAATTGGAATTCATTTTTACCTTGTTTGTAGTCACTTGCTTTGTGCTCATTTTCTTAGGGCAAAATACTCCGTACATCATTACTAGCTATATCATTGTGGATTATGCTGCAGTCCATATTTCCAGAATCACTTAATGGCTGTTCCCTGTTGTCTTTGAATGGCTCAGCTTGTTCTTTGAGCCCTCCTCCTCCTTTCCCTGTCTCCCCAATCTACCCTCCAAAACAGATTTTTCTGTCTCACACAGTTTCAGAATGTGACTAGGTTACAGGGCTTTTGTTTGATGCTCTCAAGGCTGCCAACATCCCGACGAAGGTTCTATGAAGTAGTAAAAGTTATGGAGCGTCTAGCAAAGAATAGTGAAGAGCCAGGGGTGGAACTGATAGTATAGAAGCATTCCTCTAGGTTCTCTCTTTCCCTCTCGCTAGATGATGCTGCTGTGTTGGGTTGATTTTTGCTTCGTTTGATAGCAAAAATGTGGCGTTCTAATTGTATGTTTTAGCTTACTACTTTTAGTTGCCAATTATTTTCTTTGGTTGTATTCACCCCTGTGGATTTTATAAATAATAGTGTAGCAAGAATTTTTATTTTTTTTGTTTGGGTTCTGAATTTAGTCTTTAATTTTGTGGATGAGTCCTGTTGTAAGGCTCCAGTTACTTTTCTATTCATTTTTGATAATGATGGTGTGTTATTATAATTTTTAGTTTTGTTTGACAATATCCTTCATAATCCTGCATGTTTTAATCTCTTCTTCCTTCCATTCTGTCACCTTTCCTTGAGTTAGAATTTGCCATGAAATCATTCTGAAAAAGCTTGAGAACAAATATTGACTGGTTATAGGGTTGATAGTCGAACGAGTTTGAGTTGAGTTTAAAATGCTTGTTTTTTTAACTGATCTTAAGAAATTGTTTAAGTTTGACTCCTTTAAAAAATAAGTCAAGCTCAAAACGAGTCGTTGAATCATGAGATTCTATTTACTATTAACAGTGCCTCAAATTAGAGAAAATATTCATTATAACAATAATATCAAGTAATGGGTGACACTGGGCATTACCAACCAATAAAAATATCTCATTTAAAATAAGTGAATCTCACTATTTTAATAATTTCTAATAATTTATTGATTAACTAACACATTGAAATAATGGAGTTTACTATTCTTTTTTTTGGTTCAACAGGATATTTGGATTAATTTATACGTACTTCGATTAATTTTTTCTTCGGTCAAGGTAAAAGACAAGTCATTCACGTCGAGACTAAAATATTCATGAAAAATAAATTTCTTATAACTTAACCCTTAGAAATTGAGAAAATTTAAGCTCAAACGTCTGAGTTTTACTGCTCTATCTTTTTTATTAATTGAGCTACCCTTGAAATTGGAGTTTATTATTCTAAGGTTGGTGATATGATGTATGCTTATTTGTTGGTGATACTATGGGTATGTTTCGATTGTGAGTTAAAGGGGAATAACTCTGATATGATAGAATAAAAAAGTATGTGAGACTCGTATATCTTACATTTGGCAAGTAAAAAATATATTAAAAATTCAATTAAGATTTTATCTTATTCCAATTTGAAAAGTCAATTTTAACTTATCTACGTGGGTTAAATGAAACCCAAGGGGGCTGAAATTTTTTTAATTCTTGTAACATATTAATATCCGTCGAAAGGATATGAAATTATAATATTTTTAAAAAATACATATAAGAAAAATTTGTTTGGAATTGTTCAAAGGCTAATTTATAAATTGAACATTATGTTGCATTGGATACGTTAGAAGCAAAATAATCGATGATACCATATTTTATCATCTTTTTTCATAAGTCCTACAAAAGTGCTAATGTTATCAAAACATTGGAAATAATAGGATATTACTATTAAATTCTAACCCGTCTAATAATAAGTGGGTTTGGATTGAATAAAAAATATATTTTTTTTAGAGCTCCAATATAGTCCAACCCTACCATCTAAAAATACTCTAGGTGCAAAGATATTTTTTTTTAGATCTTCGATCTAATTCAACCCTTCCATTTAAAAACACTCTACTTGTCACCGTTGTAATGAAAAAGCGCTATGATCCGGATTCGGATCGGAATTTCAGGAACCGGGTTCCTTAAACCCTAGTACTACCACTACTAACCAGTACTCAAAATATATCGAAATTTTGCGGAAAACATCGAAGGTATATTGGTGGTCGTTTTCTTTTAGCTCAATTTATGAGTAATGTTATTAGAATCAGACTAGATATCGAACCGAACGGGATTAGATCAATGATTCAGTGGTTCAATCATTAGATCAACTGATCGAACCGATTGTATAATAAAAAAATTAAAAAGAATTATATAATATAATAATTTAGTTAAAAAATACAATCATAGTAAAAATTATTGTAAGTATCATATAGTGTACGGTGTGTTTTTTTTGTACAGGTTCACCGTTGGAATTTATTACCAAACGGTAAAATTTAAACTGAAACACTAATCTACGGTAGTTTTAAACTTATTTATTGAATTAGGACTATTTTAACAGCAGAGGTACGAATTCCGATATCATTTAAAAGCGAATTTAGTGAGTACGATTTTATTCGAAAAACGGATGTAGCAATTCGGACTTTAACATTAAAAACATATTTATCGATTACGCTTTTAATTGAACAAGAGCTCTGTTATCGAGGCTGTCAGCGGCTCAGTGAAGGTACGGTTGTTTAACCTTATAAAAAAGTGATAAATTACACTCATGTCTTTATAGTTATTGTTTATTACAATAATAGACTTATATTTTATGATATTATATTGACCCCTTTATTTGTTTCATTTTGATATTAGATATGTTTTTCAATTTTTCACTCAAACTTTGTTCCGACATTCTTTTAAACACTGTTATTCTTAATTTGAACAATAGTGTCCTTCAATCTAAATTCACTTCATCTTTTTCATCTTTTTCTTTTCTCTCTCTCTTGCACAAATGCACACACATGTGACACAAACATATATTTAGATCACACATACATGCTTGTAAATTCATATAGCTTTCCGATAGAATGTTTGTGTGATCTAAATTCATTTACAAGGGCAATGAAAAAAAAAATTAATTTTTAAACAAAAAAATTTCTTTGATATAACCTTTTATGGGAACCAAAGAATCTGACTCAAACAATTTTTTCAAAAAGACAAAAAGGGGTTCTCACGCTAACATTGAAATTTCATGGGATGAGCATGTTATTTTGACAAATAGTTGGTCTTCTCAATGATATTTGTCAAAAAAAAAAAAGTGAAGAAGAAAAATACACTAATGTTATTTGCACTTAAAAAATCTGAACAAATACGTTGATATGTTGATGTATCTAAGAAATGTAATCCCCACATATAAAAGAGTACAATAATTACAGTTATAAGATGTTATTAAATCTATATTTATATTTATATTTATCTTTACTATTTATAAATGTCAAATTTTTTGATTTTTTTTAATTTTTTTTTTTATCTTTAATAATTATAATAAAGTCAATTATACTCACTTATATAACTTAATCTAATTTTTGTTTTTTTTACTCTTATTTAACTTTCAACTTGTTTTAAACTCTTTTATAAGGTAGTCTAAATTATTTTGAAGTAATTTATTATTAATAAAGTTACATACAAATTTTCATATATATATGAAGAAATAAAGTTATATATACGTTAAATTATTATAGACTTGTAGCTATCAGATTGAATTCTACGATCAAATTCATGTTAGATTTTTTTTTTAATATGTAATACAATAATAATATTATAACCGATCTAATTAACCCATTTAACAAGATAAAAATTAATAATTCTAGAACATAATTAGATGATGTGCAATTACCTAAAGAAGTCAGAGAAATAGCTAAATAAATGATAAATTAAAATGAAACAAATAAAGGGGTTAATATAATATCATAAAATATAAGTCTATTATTGTATTGTAATAAACAAGAACTATAAAGGACATGAGTGTAATTTATTACTTTTTTATAAGGTCAGACAACTGTACCTTCGTTGAGCGACTGACAGCCTCGATAGCAGAGCAGTTTGTCTTGTAATTGTTTAATTAAAAGGGTAATCGATAAATTCGCTTTTAGTGTTAAAGTGTCTGTTTTTTAGATAAAATTATACTCCTACTAAATCCACTTTTAAATGAAATTAGATTTCATAATTCCGTTTTAAAACGGCTGTAAATTGACATTTGAATTTAAATTTTATCGTACAGATTCACCGTGTGTGTACTGTGTGCGCGTGAAGAGGGAGAATGAGAAAGTGGAACCAGCTGGCCACTGGCTGTGCTGGGTTGTAGATTAGGAAAAAATAAAAGGGGAGAGAAGCCTGAAGAGGCAGATGTCGAAGAACTCAAATGGAACTCAGATGTTGCAGAACTCAGATGGAGAACTCAGATGAAGAGGAGAAGAAGACTAACAAAGCTCAGGAGGAGATCAATGGCTGAGAAGGAGGTCGAGATCTGTGGTGTGGCCACTGTTCGAGTTAGATCTGGAAACAATGGAGACGAAGAAGAAGGGCTGAAATCTTTTTGAACCAGCCGGAGAAGACGAAGACAAAGACAAAAGGGCTGGTGTTGTTTTGAACCGGCCGGTTATAGGAATTTTCGGTTCACCAGTTCGATTCCTTAAGTGGTCTAATTAAAGAACCGGTCCAGTCCGGTTCTGATAAACACTGCTTCTGAGGCATCTCTCTCTCTCTCTCTCTCTCGCGCGCGCGCGCTCGCGCGCGCACACACACACCCGGTCTTTTTCTTTCTCCCAAACCCACCCACCAGCGTACCAATAAAGCCAATCAATTTCTCATGCAATCCACCTTATATGTTGCTTCCAATTCCCTTCCTCATCCTCACTTACCATGGAAACCTCAAAAACCCCGCATTCTCACACTCCAAACACTCAAACTCTCTCTTAAACCATTAACTCTCTCGAACTCGTTAAAAACATTATTCGGCTCCGAATTCGAAGATGAAAAACTCGATAAACAAGACCAACCAACTATTCTTCTTCGTCTTCCTGTCGTAGTTCGCAATTCTGGTAGTGTTTCTCGCTACTTATGGGACGGAGATGACTTGAAATTGGTTTCTGTTGACGGAAGTGCAAGGTTTTCGTTGTCGCCGTTTTCTTTAGATTTCGAAGATGGGTTTCGGAAGTTGGTTAGAGGGTGTGTTTCGGGTATAAGGAATTTTTTTCTTCCGAGGGAAGTGAGTGAGAATTATTTGGAGTATGTGAAGTGGAAATTTTTGCATAGAGTCTTCAGTTCTGCACTGCAAGTTCTCGCAACCCAGGTAAATTGTTTTTCTTTTCAGTGATTGAATTTCAAAGGTATGTACTTCCATATATTTTGAGTCCTATGGATTCTTGTGGAAAGTGAGTTACTCATTGTCTCACTAATATGAACAGGGGAGATCTGGGGGAATTTTCCCATTGGAGGGTTGATTTTCTTATTTTTGTTAAGGCTATTGTTTGTTCTTTCTTATTTGAACTGTCATCTACTTGGGAAATTAGTTTATGCCATCACTTATTTGAGTGTGAATGGGTTATTATCAGGCAATGTTTCGGGCAATTGGAATTGGATACTCGCGTTCACTTGCATCAGCTGCTGCCCTGAATTGGGTTTTGAAGGATGGGCTTGGACGCCTTAGTAGATGCATATATACTGCTAGCCTAGCGTCTGCTTTTGATACCAATTTGAAGGTATAATTACTTCCTCACCAAAATGTGGGTGCCACATTATGCAATCACTATTATTTAGTAGTACAATATTCATAATATTGAATAGTACTTCTTTGCAATTATCGCTTATCAATCTTCGTTTCTGTATTTGGAAAATTTTGGTGGTACATATTAGATGAAGTATTGGAAGATTCCTTGATTTCTAAATTGTGGTGAAAAAATTGCAAATCAAGTATTTTATAGTCTGAACCTATAATATGGTACTCTGAGTATGATTAAATAATTAATGTGTAATTGTCTCCCTTGAAGAGAGTTAGGTTCTCAACATCGGTTCTGTTCAGTTTGGGCATTGGAGTTGAGTTGCTGACTCCTGCATTTCCCCAATATTTTTTGCTTCTCGCATCTGTAGCCAACATTGCAAAGCAGATAAGCCTCGCGTGCTACCTGGCAACTGGTGTAAGTTTCAGGCCCCACCAATCTGTTAGCTTTTTTCTGATTTTTTCATGTAACATATGCTCATTTTCATTTGAATTCTTTTCTGAAGATTGATATCAACATTAGACACAATCTGGAACATTAACTAATAATCATTTTCTAATGATTGATTTCCTTTAAAATTTTATTTTTCATGGCAGTTGTTTATTTTTATGTTTGAATGTGGTGCTTCTCACGAAGTTTAAAGCAAATCTTTTTCCCCTTATTGATGGCAAATGAATCAATTGTAAAATGTTGTGTACAATTTGAGAGAAGCAGTCATGTAAAGCTCTGCTTGTAGCATAGAGATCACTGCCTATTCTTAACTAAAAGCCCATGTGTGCTTGATCATCCTGAAGTTCCAACCAATGATCCTACCAGATATAAACTGTGTTTTGAAATAAGCTTATTAAAAGCCCCTGTACACTGGAGCATCATAAAGCATCATCGGTTTGCTTTTACCAAAAAAAAAAAATGAGTTTCAAACAAAATTTGGACAAACATGGATACATCATAGTGTGTAGTGACCCCCATATTGCAGCGGTCAGATTTACATGCTTTATTTCTTCTGGGTTTTTTGTGCACTTCTTGATTTGAATGGTTTTATCTGCCATTCCTACCTGATGAATTCTCATTGTCCAAAGCCTGAGGTTGCGATGAATTTTCTTCTTTGCTGGTAATTCAGAAAAGGGTTCATTCTCTCACGTGTTATGCTATACTAACAGACTGCTGTTCACCGAAGCTTTGCAATAGCAGACAACCTCGGTGAAGTTTCTGCCAAGGCTCAGGTTGATTATAATTTTTCTGTGGATTGGTTCTTTTGTCATGCTTTATATTTTTTTTTTTTGTGGTGCACAACTACACATTAATTTTTTTTTTCTTTTGAGTTTCAGATTCAAACAGTGTGCTTTGATAACCTTGGGCTTATGCTTGCTGCACTGTTGAATATTTTGTTCAAAAACAATCAAAGGTTCATGCTTGCTTCCCAACTTCAGATTTTAAATTACTGAATCATCCTAGTTTTACTCTCAAGTTGATATTCGATGATCTTTCTTCCCATGTGCTGCTGTTCAGACGGCAGTAGACTGATTTTTTCCGCAGTTTGACATTAGTAGGTTTTCCCTTCTCCTTTTCTTGACTATGTTTTTGATTTGAAAGATGTACATGTGTGAACTGAATGCTAAAACAATGTTTATACTGTCACTTGTCTTCCCTGTAAATATGTGATTAGAAAGTAGTAAACAATTAGTATATTGATAAAATACATTGACTGAAAGTTCTTGATGATATGCTAGATTGCAAGCAGGTTTACCGTTTGTCATATATCCAATCTTCTCAGCAATTGACCTTTTTGGAATTTATCAAGGGCTAAAGCACATCCATCTGCAAACCTTAACTAAGGTGGGTTTTTTATTTCTTTCATATCTTTTCACCTCCGGAACATCACAAAACAACCAAAGTTCATCGATGTTATAAGCGTTATTTGAGAACTCAAAATGACACATTTGCTTATTAGTGGAGGTCATTTTATGCTCTGAAGGTACAGAACTCGGTTCTTCTGATTTATGTGCCTCCACCGATACATGTAGCTCATCTTAGACCTCTACATTTGCTAATCATGTGTCCCTTGCATAAGTTGTAGCTTGCAAGCATATATGACAAAAATGCTGTAACAAGAGTCATACAATATGCTTTTGTCTTTTATTTTTTGTAGGCTTTACCTTCCCCACCCCTGGGGCTGGGGGGTGTACAATGCTAGATCACTTCCATATGCTTTTGCTTTGTAGTTTTAATTTTTCTATTTGCTCTTTCATTGTACTGAATTATTACTCTTTTAACAGTGTTGTGTTCTACTACTACTCTTTGCTTCAAAAAATCAAGAAGAAAATCAATCAAATGCTGATAATGATTTGCAGCTTTCCACCTCAATTTTCAATTTTGATGTTCAGGATAGGCTTGAGATTATAATGAACATATGGATTCAATTGGGATATGTCCCTTCACCTGCAGAAGTGAGTAAAGAGGAAGGTATTGACTTCTTGCGGAGTAAAGGTGAGGCATAACCCCTGCATTTTGCTGTAGTTTGCTTTAGGTTGTGATTTTGGCTGATTTCAAAACACAATCGTTTATTGAGGTTTGGATTAGGCAGGGAACTATGGCCTATCAGAATTGGTTGCCCAAATCCCAGGGGTCAAATTGCAAGGCTGTCGATGATGACAATGCGATCTCTGAGTGATGAGGATTTCTACTTCATATGCATCGAGAATTTCTGCCAAGGATTGAGTAGAAGTGGACAAGTGAGTTTATCAAAGAAGTTTCATCTTGATTGTTGCATTGGTTGCTTGGCACTGAACTTATACTTATAATTTTTTTCTAATTGAAAAGTTGCAGCAAGGTATTCTTCTCTGTATGCGGGAAGGGGCAGGGACTTCAGATGTCATCATGGGTCTGTTGCAGGTAAACGAATTCCTTCCTCACCCCCACAAAAAAACCTTCCCACCATGGCGGATATTACCCTGATAAACACCTTACACCCATGCACCTTTATTTAAACATCACAATGACATAAGTAGCCCATCTCCCTCCTTGGATGAAAGAGATTCTTTTCACTACATTTACTTACAATTTCACTTAAAGGTTGATAACCCACCCACCATATAGGGTTGGGAGACCCGCTATTAATCAGTGGGTCATGCATGAGTTAATGGTAGGTGATTTGCTTTTGAGCAAAATCGAAAAAAGATGAATTGAAGGTGATTTGAATATCCTTTGATGCAAGTTTTATGATGGTTCTCAATGTGATACCTTGTATTTGTGTTATGTAGGTGTGTTATGTCCGTAAAGGGCTCCTATATAACAGGAGGGACAATATTTTAGAAGCTTGTGACAACCCAGATTTTGTTTTCAGAGACTGGTTTAAATTGATTGAAGATAGCAAGCGGTCTGCAAGAAATGATTTTAACCTGATAAATGAACAGATGTTAGGATTGGGATGGGCTTGTAAACATATTCTATTGAACACACAGGAGCAGGCTAGGTATAGTTTTGTGGATGACTGAGGATGTGCAAGTGTTTTTTTCTAGGCTTTGGTTTGTCATTCAAAACACAGGAAAAGGAAAGACTGAAAGGTAAAAAAGGAATCATGTTATGAAAAATTTTGTTTTTCCTTTATTTTGCTTCCATTTATTCTTTTCCTTTTACGTTCACTAATTCACATGAACTCTCCCATGTTACCTATGTAGCCATCTGTCGTACTTCTCATGACCTCTTTTTCTTTCAAGTTTTCAAAACCAGTGATTAGAGGCATTGGGGGCACAAACACCCACATCCTATTCTCGAATTTCAAATAGGTAGGATTGTCACGCAACAAATTGAGTTCTCTAATTTGATATCTGCTTTATGTTATGCTTCTTTACAGCGATGAGACAAGCAATGATCAATCAAAATAATGTCTGCCCTAGCTAAAAAGAGCGGACGCGAGGGCTCTTGGTATCGAAGAGAATGAACACATTCTTGATTACTAGGCCTGCAGCTACTTTTTGTAAACTCTCATATCTGTGTGATGGGATGGATGAGCAAACATTAGGTACTTTTTGTAAACTCTCATATCTGTGGGATGGGATGGATGAACAAACATTAGGTATAACGGTGACATCATGTCATTATTAATACACGATGTCACAATTTAATAATAAATCTGTAAATTGACAAGATAAATCCCATTGAGAATGATATGACAGGTTGGTTATTTTAATATGTGAAATTTCTCTGTTTATTTGTTATATTTTTATTGAATAGTAACAGTACGTGACAATGATGACGTGGTATTATTGTTACACCCAATATTTTTTCGGGCCGGGGGTGACGGGCCACAATGAAATGCAAATCATGTAATCCACCGCTAGTATAATTTACAACATAGACCAATCTTAGCAGTTGCATTAGGAGATGGAATACTGCTATCCAAAATAAGAATATGCATACAAAGATGTCCAATCAGACAACAAAGTTGCCAGCCTCGGAAACAGAGGCAAAAGAAAAACAAATGCACTACATATCATCAATTCATCACTGCCTTCACTTCAACAAAGATTTCTACTGCACAGCTGTAATTTTACATAAAGAAGAATACTTTTGACTAAATCAGATTCATTTTCATAATGCATCGCAATTAGTGCTGCTATATCAAATCCCCAAGATCGCAGTTGCACAAACATGTTACAAATAGCACTGCTGATAAGATGCCATTGCTTGGCAGGTTGATAGGACACAAACACGAGGTATTGCAAAAGTAACGTGCTCGGATATGTGCTAGCAGCATAAGTAGGTAAAAGCACCACATAGGAATGATACCTCAGCTTCTTGTAATCTGGCTGCTGCGATTACTCGTGGAAGGTAGGAAAACAAACCAAGACTAATGCTGATCATTAAACACCTTTCATCGTCCTCATTTACAAGACCTTTTTATGTACAGTGCAAATGATGATGGCTAAACAGGGACCGACCCCAGCTATAAGCCTTTTGCTGATTTAACTTTTCAGTGAGAGAATGAACTCGCCTCAGTGCTATATAATGAGTACTCACTCATGCTGAAGTTGGGTCTCTCTTCGTCCCACTTCAGAATCTCCCTCGCATATTTAAACGTGTCATCAACACGCTTGGGCTCCAAACCCTTCACCAGTGAAACAAACAGCTTTTGCCCAGTGAGAGCCGAGTAGAGTCTCTTGAATTTAACAGCAATATAATGGAAAGCCACCTGACCCAGGGAGGGGCTACTGTTGATGTTGTTGCTGTTGCTGTTACTGCTGTTGGAGCGATGACGGCTCACCACTGGATGGAAATCATCAAACCATTCACACCGAGCCAGAGGAATTCGTTCCATCTTTTCCTCAAACAAATCAAATTTGTTCAGTATTAGAAGGAAGTCCATCTGATCAAAGGTTGGATGTGTAACAATGCTCTCAAAGAATTTCCTGCTCAGTAACATCTTGTTTACCAAATCCCCATTGTCATCACTAGCAAATTGGTCATAGTCACTCAAGGCAACACAGAAAACAACAAGTCTAACATCTTCAAACATCTCTAGCCACTTGCAGTTTTCTCCAAAGCCTCTGGCTTGTACCCTAACCAGTTGAAATCTGAGTAACAACAGAAAAGAGAAGATGATGTCAAGAACAATTCAATCATCACATTCAAATACTGGCATACAACCACCATCGTCAGATTATCCAGCAGTTACCAGAATTTCCAGAGTATAAACAGAACAATTCAGTGGTAAAGTTTTGTATTGGAATACATGAGCAAGAGAAAGTATCTATTGCAACCAAATTAGGGTTCTGATTTCAATTTGATTATTGGTTTCAAGTGAAATGGGTTTTTTGAGATTTACAAGGTATGTTCTTCTAAAAATGGACCTTCAAATACAATATGTAAAACAAATTCGTCAATACTATTTCCTGCAAAGTAAAAAATTTGGAATCCATGCCTTATAATTATAATCATATTACACAAAAGGGAAAGTAAATGATAATCTCTTAGAGCTTCTTGTCTACCTAGAAGCCACAAAAATGCACCAATCTTTGTTGGTTATGCATTCATTTCCCTATTATCAGCTTGAGTAGTTTTTTGGGGAAAACAGATGGCCTCCCATGCACTATTTAAGCTGATGGGTCCCACTCTACATTGTAAAATGATAGGATCATTCAATGAGTTTAAGCTTAAAGTCCTGCCGAAAAGTCCAACATAATGAAATTTTACAATCCTCATGAATTTAAACATTATATTCATTGAACAAACTCAATCCGTCCAGTTATGGTTGTACTTCCTATTTCAAGAACTGGAGAAGAATCAGTTTAAAAAAAAGGATAAGTGTATCTTCCATTAAAAAAATTCCCATGGCACTATATAGCCATGTTTATTTTATAAATTTCTCCAAAAGAATGTTATTTAAGTATTCTGACTTAAAGTAGAGACCCATCAATGAACCCTACAAGATCATCCCCAATAATATTATATGCTTTTTATGGAACAAGGTTCATTGTTATTTTTCCAGGCATTGAAAAGATTCACAAATTAGGTTCCATCCCCCAACAAAATATTATAATTGCCTTGCATTTCACAAGATGGAAAGAAAAGGTGAGGAGCCCACTAGGAAAACCACACCTTTCCAATGTAATGTTTTGGTAATGTTGGATTAGGTAACTCATAGTCACTCTGCGAGTATACATGTTTCTCTTTTCTAAGCACCAAGACTTGCACTGCATTACTTGATTAACATGATGGCACTACGCAAATCATCTCATATAGCAAGTGCACAACAGCATATTCACTAGAAACACAAACATAAACAAGAGCCTACAAAATGGAAGCCGATTGGCAACAATGAAAGGAACTCTTTACAAACATTGCATTAAGCTTCAGTACCTACCTGAGCAGAGAATCTTGCGGATCAGCAGTGTCATTTTTGTCATCAGGTGATGGCTCAGGGAATGAGAAGTCCACACAAGCAAGCCCGTTTGATAAGGTAACACCTTCAGCATATAGTATGTCCACATCTGAAGGTTCATAATCTGTTCTCAATATATCAAAGACCTGGAGACAAAATAACATAGAACATTAAACATAGACTGCAAAAAAAATAATAATATAATAATTGTAATCCTTGCACATTTTCCAAGACAGCAATAGCACAAAATTGCAATATCATTAAGCAATCCATAGAGCAGCAGGTTGAAATTGTATGACAAATTAATGAAAGGGGTGGAACATCCTCTTATAAATCAGGGCTCCGTGCTGTTGGAACATGTACTGGGGCAAACAGAAAAATCTTTAGAGATTCTCATTACTATCTACAGACCCAGAAAATACAATGTGCCGGCCTTTTGGAAAATTCCTTTAAGCCATCTGTTCTTCTCACCAAGAAAATCCACATGATCCAAACTAAGTGGACCACGCGGACACTAACTGATCAAAGTAAATTTTTGTATTAACTTTTCCATCTTGCTTTTTTGCAATAAAAATCATGAACAAACTCTAAACCATGATCAATTACAACACAACATTGATTGAATAAATCACAACACTAGTGCCACTGAAGTAGACCGCGTCACATCCTACAAGTGAAAGGAGAAAAGTGATACAGAAAACAATGATTTGCTCATCTCAAACCATGCTCCTGCTATTTTAGATCTCAACAGAATTTCTAATTATTTTCAAAACAACCCCCCGTTATAGCAATATTTGACAAATTGATAACCCCTGTTGCACATATAAAGAAGATAACTTTCCAAATGGAGCGGAGGTGAGTCCAGAGTACTCTAGTTGGAGCAAGCTTCACATTCACCCTACTTCAGCCAATCCAAAGACTAATAGGCTCTACTCATTAGACCTCTCAGTTATTGGCTACAACTTCAACATAGAAAAGAAAGGACGTTCAGACATAACTAATAACACTCATTAAACAGAATCTGTTTTCTCCTCCAAAATTCACAGTTGGTAATGTTTTTATGTCATAAATTAGTAGAACAATTAAAAACTCAGCACACGAAATTTATTCACCGACTCTTCAAACTACTGGCAAGAGACATGAGATCATAATCTGAAATATAACACCAGATGCATTTTTCAAAGATGAGCCCACATGAGAATATAAACCCTTCGGAATGGAACTCATCTACTCCATTTGAACTTACCAAAATTGGGTAAGAGCAATCTAGGGTGGTGAAACAAATTGTAAGAGATCGTTGTGGCAAACAAAGACATTGCAACAATTACAAATGAGCAGAAGGTGACAGCCAGGAGCACAGAAGTTTCTACAACGTTCAGGAATTATTAAAATGCTAAAACTAATGAACAAGAAGCTTCACATGTGGCCAAGAAAAGGTTTATGAATGGATAACCGCCTTAATTAGTTGCCCTTACTTTAAAAAAAGGTAGAAAACTAGAAAATAACTTCTATTTTGAGTCAAAAGAGTGGTGGTGTTACTTTAACACCTTGAATCCCCTCAAATCCTAGCTTTTTCCTACCCCTCATGCTCATAAGTTTATCAGCAAGTCAACAATGACACGATTCCCCGGACAAGATGTTACAAAGTCGTGGTTTGTTGGCAGTTTGATTGGCTTTCTCACTATCACTTTAAGAAAAATTACAGATACATCTTAAGACGATCAGCTCCAAAAATCAGTCATTAACCTTTTGTCTTTCCATTTTATTTGTCTTTCTTACTGTCCTAATGCACCAAACTTTTCCAGCCACTAGACACTCCATGTTAACATCAATGACATTAGTAACAAGGAATAGTTCAGATGCATTAATACAAGAAGAAATGTTCATGTAGCCAAACCCAGCACAGTAACACAAGGCATGAATTTACCCGCTCTAGGAAATAGCTAGCAACACAAGGGAGCATTTCCAATTCACTTCTACGCTTGTATGTGGCCTGAATGGCTACATTTTTCCACAATTCTTCAACTAATGGTGCATATTCCCAAGTAGCAGCTGGGAAAACAGCTTCCAAATTTCCTGCCACCATAGTTTTCAGAAGCCAGTCGGAGAATGCTTTCAGCCTTGGGCAAATAGAATATATGGTTTTTGCATCATCCCCGTCAGTGTTCCCTGCTTTTGATTTCAACCAGAAAATACTTTTCAGAGTAAAACAGCGCATTGCATAAGAAATTATGTTTATATGATCATGTAGACTTAAGCCTTTGAACATGTTTGCACCAATATAGCTAGGCCAAAACAGGTACTGCCCATCAAGCAAATAAAGCATACTTCACAAAGCAAAACAATAGTTAAAGAGTAAATTCTAATACTAAAACCTATACTCCAGCTTTCAAGCCAACCACATTGCCAATGGTCTGTTAAATGCTAGTACTACACTGTTTACGTGACTTATCCTATCATAATCTCCAGAAACACAAGTAATTACAAATTACAAGTAGTAGACAATCATAGAAGTATCTCATATAAAACAATTTTTTTAAAATAAAAAATTGCCTTATCTGCAGCCCTCTCCACGTATCTCCACAAAGGTATAGAATTCATTTAACACTTAACACTATGCTAATGAACAAATTATACAAAATCTTTGTAACTTTCATTACAAAAGACTAAAACATCAACAAATGAATGCATGTATTGAATTTTAAACTTTCAACCAAGAAATCCATGATCAATTAGGCTTGAGGCAGGAAGAAAAACCTGAAGACACTTGTTTCTTAGCATTTGTGCATAATGTCACACTGAGACTTATGTTCAAGCTCCATTCAGAAGCAAACTTGGCCAAGTAGTCTTCATTAAACAACATAATGGCTCAACAGAATGATAAATACAAGAAAATAAGAGAATTCTCTTTATCCAAGGATAAATCAGATTTTAAGTAGATCATAGATTGATCAAATATTGTGAAATATGCCAGAAAAAATGCATTTGACAAATTTGTTGCACTTGATACTGATCAACTTTTATCTTTTTCTAATAAAATCATCTAAATCTGTTAACAAACTATATCAGATTTATAGCATTCGATTAGCTTCAAAATAGCACATAACTCAGAATGATCAGGTAGGAGGAAAAAAAAACCAATTATTCCAAATAACAGCTCATAGTCAAGACCAACAATTAGATCGTACACCTCGAAAGTACCCATCTAAAAATGTGGGCAGCAAGACATGTATTTGAAGAATCTTTTTTAAAAGTGATATTCAATGCATGGTATCTGATCTAGATTTACATTGCCAGTGAATGACTACTAGATACATCATATGCAAGTTCTTCCCCAGAAATCAAGAAATACGAGCACCTAATGCATGAGCATAGATTTTGAAGTGAAAAATGAACAACAGGAAAGAACAAAACAAATTTGTACCTATTTGTCCATATTCATCAAGAGACTGAGCTTTCCTCAATTCACTCAAACTTTCATCTTCAAAACGCTCGCGGCCCTCAAGTAGTATACCAAGGTAACCATACACATTGCTCTGGATTAATAATTTGATGCTCTCACGTTCATCCTCCGAGAAAGGTACATCTTTGTAAAGAATCTTGGCCTAGTACAAAATTTTACACAGATGAGTACAACTGTTTCTCAGGTATCACCAAAGCTTTAGAGGAAAAAGCCCAATGTTTTCTTGATTGGTAAAATGTCATTAAACCACTAAAATAGTTGCAACCCTTTCCCAAAAGTTGGAACTTCTACTTAAAAAAGTTAGAACCCTTCCCCCCAAGAGTTGGAACCTCTACCCAAAAAAGTTGGAACCCCTCCCCTCAAGAGTTAGAACCTCTACCCAAAAAAGTTGAAACCCCTCCCCCCAAAAGTTGAAAACCCTACCAAAAAAAATTGAAATCTCTACCTAAAAAAGTTGGAACCCTTTTCCCCAAAAGTTAGAACCCCTACCCAAAAAAGTTAGAACTCCTCCCCCAAAAAGTTAGATTCCCTCTCCCCAATAGTTAGAACCTTTACCCAAAAAAGTTGGAACTCCTACCCAAAAATGTTGAAACCCCTCCCCCAAGAGTTGGAATCCCTACCCAAAAATGTTAGAACCCCTAACCAAAAAAGTTGAAACCCCACCCCCAAAAAGTTGAAACTTCTGCCCAAAAAAGTTAGAACCCCTCTCCGAGTTGGAACCTCTACCCAAAAAAATTGAAACCCCTCCCCATAATAGTTGGAACCCTTACCCAAAAAAATTAGAACCTCTATTTAAAAAAGTTGGAATCCTTCCCCCCAAAAGTTGCAACTTCTACCCAAAAAAGTTGGAACCCCTTCCTCAAAAAGTTGGAACTCGTTCCTTCAAAAGTTGGAACTTCTTCCCAAAAAAGTTAGAACCCATCCCCCAAGAGTTGGAATCCCTACCCAAAAAAATTAGAACTCCTACCCAATAAAGTTAGAACCTCTACCCAAAAAAGTTATAACTCAATTAAAAAAATTGAAACATGAGCAAAAAATATAAACTAATGCATAAAAGTTTAAACTGTATTCCAAAAAGTTTGAACCACCCCAAAAAAATATAATTCAATCCTAAAAAATTAAACCTCATACCAAAAGCTTATAACTCAATCCAAAATAGTTGAAATCTGACCAAAACAGTTGTAATCTAGTTAATCCGAGTCACCCCAAAAAATTGGAATCCAATCCAAAAAAATTATAACCCTCACCTAAATAGTTGGAAGCATTATTTACAATTCTTTTATTTCCAATGATTTTAATTATTTGATTTTATTCATTATTTATTTGTTGTTAATAAAAATGGGACTATTTAAAAAATATTGAATATTTTTGGATAGTAGGATTTTTTTGATTTATCTAATCCGAGTCACCCCAAAAAATTGGAACCTAATCCAAAAAATGTTATAACCTTGACCCAAATAGTTGGAAGTATTATTTACAATTCTTTTAATTATTTGATTTTATTCATTATTTATTTGTTGTTAATAAAAAAATGGGACTATTTAAAAAATATTGAATATTTTTGAACAGTAGAATTTTTTTGATTATTTAAAGGATAAAAGTGTGATAGTTAAGGGATAAAAATGTGATAGTTAAGTGATAAAAGAGATAAAAGTGTGATATTAATCCCTGATCGGTCTCCCATTTATTTGGCCGGTCCTAATAAATTACACTTACACCTCGCATATTACAATATATTGTTTTTTTTATTTTCTAAGCGAATATTGTGGTCCATAAATCACAAAAACCTTATCTTCACCCTCCACCCACTTTTCTGCCTAAACGACTGGTGACTGCTCTTGCCTTCCCTCCATCTCTTTCATTGTAGAAAAAATATTTGTTTGTTTGGTTTAAGTTTTGTTGAGTCTGGGAGGACGAGGTACTATAAAACTCCATTATTATTTTTTTTGCATGACTTTGTCTTTGATAATCCTCCATTGCTTACCTTGGTGATCCAAGTCTTGACTCTGATATAATGTAAGTGAACATTTTTTTTAATTAATAGTGTCATTTATATGGTGAAGTCATCTTTATTGTTAATGGTTTATTTTATGTTTAGGGTGAAGAAGGAACATGAAACTGAAGATATTAAGTCATCTCGCCCAACAATCTCCTGACTTTTTTACTAGTGGGAAATTTTTTTTAATCTAAATGCTAAATTATTTGTGTTGACCTTATTTTTTATTCAAATGATCTAATCGATGCTTGTTTTCACTATAGCAAGGATTGTTTGAAGACAATCAAAGGGAAGAAAATAAAAAAATTGGACCATGGGGTATAAAAGATATTATGTTGATCTTTATTTTTTATTCCAATGATCTTATTAATGCTTGTTTCCACTTTACCAAGGACTATTTGTCTTCATCTCATGTTGTACAACCTTTCGCTACTCAATCATCAGGCCATGAAATAACTTGGCATTCAATGGAAGAATTTGAAATATGACGAGAAAGAAAAATATTTAGAGATGACAAAGTCGTCAAAAGAAGAGTATTATAGTCACAAAGAGAACTCTAACAAAAAAGAAAAGGTTCAAAACCATAATATTAAATGGTTTATCTATTTTTATCTGTTTTTTTTTCTTATTCAACTGTTTGAAATTACAGCTCGGAACAAGATGTTCTCTCCGGAAATGATTGTGAAAGTAATACAAAGGTTAAGTGAAGCACAAAAAAAGGCCGTTGAAAATATTGGATTTGGAGGCTTGTTACGGCTCAAATATAAATGTTTGAAATTGTTTTGCTATAATGGTTTCTCTCTGTGTAGTTGTTACATCCTGTTGATTTTCTGCATTTTGGCAGGGTTTGTGCCATTAAACTCCTAGCTTTGGAGAAAATAGGAAGGCCAGTCTACAGGATCTTGCTGTTCTTACGGGAGGCCAAGTGGATCCATTGTTGGATTAATGTACTAGAATATTCTATTCGTTGTTTAACACTTTATATGATGGGTTTCACTTCTGAATTACAGCTTATAACTAAGGAACTTGGTATGAACCTTTAATAATGTGGAGTTGGCTATGCTTGGCATCTGTAAAAAGGTTAGCTGTAAAGGCATGCATTTTCCTCACTGGATTTGTCTCCGATGTGCTGGTGTGATATTGTTTCAATGATAAATACATGTTTGTTCAAAATCTACTGGAATGTAGATGCTTCACACCAGTTTTTTCTCATCAGATAGTATTGTTTGACAATGTTCTTGTCCTAGGCCACAATATCCAAGGATGGCACTATTGTTCTTGATGGTGTTGCTGATAAGAAGGCCTTACAGGAAAGATGTGAACAGGTTTGTTTTGCTTTCTTATGAACATTCACCATTGGCCTAATGGTTACCGTATCCCCATATACATACTGTTCAAAAAAAAAGTCAATTTTTGCAAGCATTCTTGATTAGTTGACTATGATTGATTCATAGGCATTTCACAAACTGAATCTAGTTGCACGTCTTCACTTCGTGACTTGATTTGTACCAGGTAATTTTGGTTTAAATGTATCGTCCTGCATAATCTTGTGAATTAGCAGATAGGAAATGAGTTCTTTGGATGTAGGTGGTGGTGTTGCCATTCTATATGCATCAAAAGAATTGGAAAAGCTGCCAACAACCAACTTTGATCAGAAGATAGGTGTTTAAATTATTCAGAATGCCCAAAAGGTTTGAAATTCACTCTAGAACTAGCATATTAAAGTGCTCGTAGTTTGTCGAAATCTGAACACACTTTTGGATTCTTAGTGCCTCAATGATTGTGTTGCATAATTGTGAAAATCTCCCCTAGCACTCATATCTCTTGTATTTTGTAATTGCAGACACCAATTCATACAATTGCCTCCAATGCCGGCGTAGAGGGGGCTGTTGTTGTTGGCAAGCCGTTGGAGCAGGATGACCCTGATCACGGTTACGATGCAACCAAAGGTCTCTTCTGAATCATTATTATTTTTTTTCACAAAACAGAGTAAGCCATTGTTTTTGGTTTGTACTGAACTAGTCAACTCTATGTTTCTGTTCCTCAAACAGGTGAATATGTTGATATGGTTAAAACCGGAATAATCGACCCACTAAAAGTAATAAGAACATCCTTGGTTGATGCAGCAAGGTGAGTTGAAGCCACCGATTCAAATGTTTCTATTTCTTAACTAGGTTGTATATTTAGTATACATTCTGATCAGTATTCGAATCACAGTGCATGCAGTGTGGCATCTCTAATGACAACCACTGAAGCTGTTGGGGTTGAAATATCGAAGGAAGCTCTAGCAATGGGTGGTGGCATGGATTACTGATGGTGCTGATCCAAACTCCTGACATACATTTTTAACCACACGAAATAAACATTAGGGTTTTACCCATTTGATGAGTTATTTGTGGGAGTGAAGGCATTGCAGGTAAAGATTTAAGTTTTGATGTAGGAGAAAAGAAGAGACTGTCAGTCATCCCTAAGTATTGAATTTTGTCTTTTCAGCATAATTGGAGATTTAACAATACCTCTTTTTTGCATGATTGGCAATTGAGTGACAGACAATTCATCTTTCCCTCTACCCGTTTGCAAACAATTCAATCTTTGTTTGATACGATTCTCCTTTTTTTCTCCTCAAATAATAGAAAACAGTTTTAATCACATACATTAAGCCAACTAAAAGATTTGAATTTTGGAATATCGAGTTATTAACCATTGAAGTCTTGTTTCTTCGAATTCGTCTTTTCCCCAATCCCTGGACAGAGTGATGGTTGAAAATAATTTTTAGATTCAGACCCATTTGAGGATGAATATAAATTATTTATTCTTATTCTCATTGTTTCAAAATTGTGACATCTTTCCCATTGTGTCCCATTGTTCCATTTTTTACTTAGGAAAGAACATTATCTAACCCTATGCCGATAAATAAACACCGTAAAAGCCCTTTTACATGAATTGGGTTGATTGAAAAATTGCTACTTTCATCCAAAATTACCAACTTGTGTGGTTGATGCATCTAAACTCTGAGATAAGACTGATAATCTCGACTCGAACTCGGATACACAAGAATTCTATCTTGAATGGGATCCAAAATAAATAAGTAATAGATAGTCTTACCTCTATTTTTAGGAGGTGGATTCCTGATAGGTAATCAATGATATGATCCTAATAAATTTTAGTGACCCATTCATGCCTATTATACCAACTATATTAGCAAGAGAATTTCCACCAACAGTAATTATAGAAAATATAAGTACCCAAGATGAATCATAAAGGTGAAATGAAGAGATGCATCAACCGAACACATTCCAGTTATTTACACGAGGCATTCTTCGGAAAACATAGAACATGATGCCACTGTTGAGTGATTCTTAACATCCATAAAGCATTGGTTCCAGAAACTGAAGCCTACCATTATGTGCTCTTCCGACGGTTCTTTACTCCAACACAATCTGAACAATACCACTTTCCCTTGGGCAGTTCTTTCAGACCAGCGCAGCCATAATGGAACTATTCTATCTTGCACTGTTGAAAAAGACTAGATGTTTTCCTTAGATCACAGGGTTAGTATAATCAACTGATCGAAAATAATGAAAGAACATAAATGCATACATCAGGATTGTCGCAGGCAACCATCTCTCCATAGCTCACTTGGTTGCAGAAACAGTAAGTCGGTTCATTTGGATCTACTGGTATTTCTAAATCCATAACATCTGGATTTGAAACTGCCGCTGCTGTAGCAAGGCGTGTCCTGTAGCAGAAATATAACTTATTTTTGACATCAATCCTATTATGGTCTTTAACCAACGAAAAATGTTTCTCCAATTACACAAACTATACCCAGGTAAAATATATGTAAAACTAATAATAATAGCAATGATAAATAAAAAAAAAACCCCAAAGAAAATAAGGAACCTTTTTTCACAGACGAAAGAAAACACACAAAAGGACAATTGAAGAGTCCTTCAAGGAGTGACAACCGGCCAAACTTGAATGAAAGGAAAAGAGAGAATGAAAGGGATGTTTGGGTGGGTGGGGGAAATTAGGTAAACAATCACCCACCCCACCCTCTGCGGAAACTTTTGAAGAGTAACAGTGCTAGCAAATCTGAAATTTTTACTTGAATTTAAGGAATAAATTAAGGTTCTGATTTTCCCAAAAGTTATTATGATGTTTAATATGTATGATCCTCAAATCAATAAATTCTTGAGTGTAAACCTCATTTGTCGTCCAGACAAAAATGTACCTAGTTAACAAACAAATTAAGATTCTTAATATCAATTCCAACAATTGATAAGTTTTGAAGTATGAGAAAAATGAAATAAAATTTGAAATAAAAAAAAACAGAGAATCATATCAATAATCAGTTAAATATAAAAATGAATGAAATTAGATTCATGGGTATGATTTGAGAACATTTGATAGCTATCTAAATTTGGCGATACCAATATCCTGAAAAAAAAAAAAAGGTTAATTATTCTAATCTCATGTTCAGCCACACACATAGAATTTTGATCAACTAGACGGTGATGTGTGTGTGTACATGCATGTATGATAGACACAAGAAGAAAGAAAGAAAAATTTCATGCACATACACAATGTTTGAACTTTGAAGGAATCACTCATTTACCCTTTTATAACCCAAACAATTATCAGATAAAATAAATGAAAATTTCTCTATATTTTTCTGTTCTTTTCCGCAGTTTTCCCAGCCACCAAACAGAGCACAGAAGAACATATCGAAAAAGGTTCGACTCTGAGCAATGCAGCACAAAAACATGGAAAGAAAAGATGTTTTAAAGTTTCAAAGCTCTAAAATTCAATGCAAAAACCGAAAGATACAAAAAAAATAAGTTTTGATTGAAATGATACGTACTTTAAACACTCCAAGAGTCGCTTGGCTCCCTCAGATAAACTCTGCAGAGAGAGATACAATAGAGATAGAGACAAAGAGTGAAGCGGGAGAGAGAGAGAGAGAGAGAGAGAGAGAGAGAGAGAGAGAGAGAGAGAAGGTGACAGTGACGAAGACGAAGGAAGCGTTTATATGTGTGTTGAAAATAAGGAAGAAGGAAGACGAAGCCGACATGGAAAATTATGGGTCGTCAGATGGAATAATTGAATATTGATTTGAAGAATTGAACATTGATTTGAAGAATTGAACGTTAGTTTGGTATAAATTGGATGAATTGAGTATTAATTGGATGAAATTGTATGGTACTTTGACGTTGAATTGATAAATTGAATATTTATTGGATGTTAATTTTGGATGTTAATTTGATGAATTATAATATTAAACGATTACCTCTAAAATATAACAATGTTTATTTATCCAATTATTTATTTATTTATTCATTTATTTTGGACGTCCACGATAACCTTATTTCTACCTTGTTCTCACCTTTTTTTGTCTTTCCCGCCTTTTTCTTCTTTTCCTGCTCAAATCACTTCTTTTATTTTTCCTCTATTTCTTTATTGATACATATAACTTGTTTGAAAATAAAAAATATTTTGTGATGTAAAGTATATTTTTGAAAAAAATTTGAGCAGGATGTTTCCTTAAGAAACAGTTGAATTTTTTGAAAAAATTCAATTCCCACTTTTATTGGATCCAACATCCACATCCATGGCAACTCCAAAAGGGTGTAAATCAACACAAAATACTACAATTAAAGTAACATTCAATTTCATCTAATTAATATTTAATTCATCAAATTAATAAAAAATTAATATTTAATTCATCCAATTAATATTCAATTTATCAAATTAACACTAAATCGACATTAAATTCATCCAATTAACACTCAATTTATCAAAATTTCTAAAATCATCCAATAAAAATTCAAGTTATCAAATCAACACCAAAGTAATATGAAAATTAATCAAATAAATATTTAATTCATTAACTCAACGCTAAATTAACATTACATTTCATCTAATAAATATTCAATTAATAAAATTAACATTTAAATTCAACTATTAACATTTAATTCATCCAATACATATTCATTCGTCAAATTAACACCAAATTTATGTTCAATCGATGAAATCAATACCAAATATATATTCAATTCATACAATTTATATTAATTTGGTGTTAGTTTGATGAATTGGATGTTAATTTGGTATTGATTTGATGAACTGAATATTAATTTGATGTTAATTTAATGAATTGAATGTTTATTATACGAAACAAAATGTTAATTTGTTGAATTGAATGTTAATTTGATGAATTAAATATTTATTCGATAAATTTATATATTACATTGGTGTGGGTTTGATAAATTGAATTTTATTAGATGATTTTTGATGTTAATTTGATGAATTGAGTATTAATTGGATGATTTTGAATATAAATTGGATGAATTGAATGTTAATTTAGTATTAATTTAATGAATTGAATATTTATTTGATAAAATTGAATGTTAAGTTAATTTGATGAATTAATTATTAATTAGATGAAATTGAATCTTAATTTGATGAATTTAATTTTAAATAGTTAATTTAAATGTTAATTTAATGAATTGAATATTTATTATACGAAATGGAATGTTAATTTGGTGTTAATTTGACAAATTACATATTTATTCAATGAATTTTTATATTACATTGGTGTTAGTTTGATAAATTGAATTTTTATTAGATGATTTTGGATGTTAATTTGATAAATTTAGCGTAAATTGGATGAATTGAATGTTAATTGAGTGTTAATTTGATAAATTAAGTCTCCAACGCCTCACCTACAGACAAGCACACACTAGGACGGTGAGGAGAGAGATCGTTAGAAATGGTGACTTACAAGTTTCATCAGTACTAGGTGGTGGGAAGAGCCCTCCCATCGAAGACCGATGAGCATCCCAAGATCTACAGCATGAAGCTCTGGGCAACCAACGAAGTCCGTGCCAAGTCCAAGTTCTGGTGCTTTCTGAGGAAGCTGAAGAAGGTAAAGAAGAGCAATGGCCAAATGCTTGCTATCAATGAGATTTTTGAGAAAAATCCGACGACGGTCAAGAACTATGGTATCTGGTTGAGGTACCAGAGTAGAACCGGTTATCACAACATGTACAAAGAATACCGTGATACCACTTTGAATGGTGCTGTTGAGCAGATGTACACTGAGATGGCTTCTCGCCACAGGGTCCGTTCTCACTGCATACAGATTTGTCGAATTGAACGTTAATTTAATGTTAATTTGACGAATTACATATTTATTCCACGAATTTTTATATTACATTGGTGTTGGTTTGATAAATTGAATTTTTATTAGATGATTTTGGATGTTAATTTGATAAATTGAGCGTAAATTGGATGAATTTGAATATATATTGGATGAATTGAATGTTAATGTAGTGTTAATTTGATAAATTAAAATTTTATTAGATGAAATTGAATGTTAGGTTAATTTGGAATTAAATATTTTTTAGATAGAATTGAATGTGAATTTAATGAATTGAATTTTAATTTTGTGTTAATTTGATGAATTGAATGTTAGTTTGATGTTGATTTTAAGAATTGCATGTTAATTTGATGAATTGAATGTTAAATAGTTAATTTAATGAATTAATTGTTTATTATTCGAAATAAAATGTTAATTTGTTAAATTGAATGTTAATTTGGGTTTGATTTGATGAATTAAATCTTTATTAGATGATTTTTTTATTGTAATTTGATAAATTCAATGTTAATTTAATGAATTAAATATTAATTGGATGAATTAAATTTTAATTTAGTGTTAATATGATGAATTAAATGTTTATTTGATAAAATTGAATATTAAATGTTATTAGATGAAATTGAATGTTAATTTGTTGAATTGAATATTAATTTGGTGTTGATTTGATGAATTAAATTTTTATTAGAATATTTTTTATTTTAATTTGATGAATTGAATGTTAATTTAATGAATTAAATATTAATTGGACGAATTGAATTTTAATTTGGTGTTAATGTGATGAATTGAATGTTTATTTGGTATAAATTTGATGAACTGAATATTAAATGTTATTCGATGAAATTGAATATTAATTTGTTAAATTGAATATTAATTTGGTGTTGATTTGATGAATTAAATCTTATTAGATTATTTTTTATTTTAATTTGATGAATTGAATGTTAATTTAATGAATTAAATATTAATTGGATGAATTAAATTTTAATTTGGTGTTAATGTGATGAATTGAATGTTTATTTGATATAAATTTGATGAATTGAATATTAAATGTTATTTGATGAAATTAAATGTTAATTTGTTGAATTGAATATTAATTTGGTATTGATTTGATGAATTAAATATTTATTTAATAAAATTTTATGTTAATTTGATGTTATTTGTTAAATTGAATCTTTATTGAATGATTTTCAATGTTAATTTGATAAATTGAGTATTAATTTAATGAATTTGAATATAAATTCGTTGAGTTGAATGTTAATTTTGTGTTAAATTTATGAATTGAATATTAATTGGATGTGATTGAATGTTAAGTTGAAGAATTAAATATTTATTAGATGAAATTGAATGTTGATTTGAAGAATTGAATGTTAATTTGTTATTTATATAATATTTATTGGATGAATTTGCATGTTACTTTAGTGTTAATTTGTTAAATTGAATCTTTTTGGGAGGATTTTTTATGTTAATTTTATGAATTGAATGTTAATTGAATGAATTTGAATAAAAATTGGAGGAGATTGAATGTTACGTTGATGAATTAAATGTTTATTAGTTGAATTTTAATATTAATTTAATGAATTAAATGTTTATTAGGTAAAATTAAATGTAGATTTTAAGAATTGAATGTTAATTTGGTGTAAATTTGATGAATTAAATATTTATTAGATGAAATTGCATATTACTTTGATGTTGATTTGATAAATTGAATATTTATTGGATGATTTTGGATGTTAATTTGATAAATTAAGTGTTAATGAAATGAATTTGAATATAAATTTAAATAATTGAATCTTAATTTGGTGTTAATTTGATGAATTTAATATTAATTAGATGAGAATGAATGTTAAGTTGATGAACTAAATGTTTATTAGTTGAATTTTAATGTTAATTTGATGAATTAATTGTCTATTAGATAAAATTGAATGTTGATTTGAAGAATTCACTGTTAATTTGGTATAAATTTGATGAATATAATATTAATTTGATTAAATTACATGATTTGAATGTTCAATCATTTATTAGATGATTTTGGATCTTAAAATTGATAAATTAATATTTTAGGAACCATAAATATATATAACTTTAAGGATAAATGACGATCGGTCGTAGCTTAGAAATGAAGACTTACACTTTCATCCCTAAAATTATACATATTTATTAATTTAGTCCTTAAAATTATAATTTTTTAATTTAACCGTTAAAATATTTAATTTTGTGTTCAAATAGTCCTAGATAAACATTTAACATGCAAAATAATCCAATAAAATAATCCAATTAATATTCAACTCATTAAATTTACACTAAACTAACATTCAACTCTTCAAATCAAATTCAATTTCATCTAATAAACATTTAATTCATCAAATTAACATTCAAATTCAACAAATTACCATTCAATTCATCCAATTAATATTCAAATTCATTCAATTAACACTCAATTAATCTAACTAACATTCATTTATCAAATTAATATTTAATTCATCAAATTATTTGGTAAGTTATATGGTTACAAGTGGGTAACGTTGGTGTTACATTTTTTTTTAAGTTGTACAGTCTAAGTCATCAAATTAATATTTAATTCATCAAATTAACACTAAATCAATATTCAATTAATCCAATTAACACTCAATTTATCAAAATTAACATCCAAAATTATCCAATAAAAATTCAATTTATCAAATCAACACCAAAGTAATATGAAAATTAATCAAATAAATGTTTAATTCATTAACTCAACGCTAAATTAACATTACATTTCATCTAATAAACATTCAATTAATAAAATTAACATTTAAATTCAACTATTAACACTAATATATTGATAAATTGAATATATATTTGGATGAGTTGAATGTTAATTTAGTGTTAATTTGATAAATTAAAATTTAGTGTTGATTTAAAAAATTGAAAGTTTATTTGGTGTTAATTTGATGAATTGAATGTTAAATAGTTAATTTAAATGTTAATTTAATGAATTGAATGTTTATTATTCGAAATGAAATGTGTAATTTGGTGTTGATTTGATGAATTAAATCTTTATTAGATAAGTTTTTTAATTTAATTTGATGAATTGAATGTTAATTTAATAAATTAAATATTAATTCATTGAATTGAATTTTAATTTGGTGTTAATATGATAAATTGAATATTTATTTGATAAAATAGGATTTTTATTTGGTATAAATTTGATGAATTGAATATTAATTTGGTATTATTTAATGAATTAAATATTTATTGGATGAAATTGTATGTTGCTTTGATGTTAATTTGTTAAATTGAACCATTATTGGATGATTTTTGATGCTAATTTAAAAAATTAAGTGTTAATTTAATGAATTTGAATATAAATTAGATGAACTGAATGTTAATTTTGTGATAATTTTATGAATTGAATATTAATTGAGTGTGATTTAATGTTAAGTTGATGAATTAAATGTTTATGAGATGAAATTGAATGTTGATTTGAAGAATTGAATGTTAATTTGTTATTTATATAATGTTTATTTGATGAAATTGCATATTAGTTTGGTGTTAATTTGTTAAGTTGAATCTTTTTTGGAGGATTTTCGATCTTAATTTTAAATTGGATGAGATTGAATGCTACGTCGATGATTTTTAAATGTTTATTAGTTGAATTTTCATGCTAATTTAATGAATTAAATGTTTATGAGGTAGAATTAAATGTTGATTTGAAAAATTGAATGTTAATTTATTGTAAATTTGGTGAATTGAGTATTAATTGGATGAAATTGCATATTACTTTGATGTTGATTTGATAAATTGAATATTTATTAGATGATTTTGGATGTTAAGTGATAAAATAAGTGTTAATTAAATGAATTTGAATATAAATTAGATGAATTGAATCTTGATTTAGTATTAATTTGATGAGATTGAATATTAATTAACATCCAAAATCATTCAATAAATATTTAATTTATCAAATCAACATCAAAGTAACATGCAATTTTATCCGATTAATACTCAATTCTTCAAATTAACATTCAATTCTTCAAATCAACATTTAAGTTTACCTAATAAATATTTAATTCATTAAATTAACATTAAAATTCAACTAATAAACATTTAATTCTTCAACGTAATATTCAATCTCATGCAATTTACATTTAAATTCATTCAATTCATAAAATTAACGAAAAAATTCTCCAATAAATATTCAATTTAACAAATTAACACCAAAGTAACATGTAATTTTATCCAATAAATATTTAAATTTTCAAATAAATAACAAATTAACATTCAATTCTTCAAATCAACGTTTAATTTCATATAATAAATATTTAATTCATCAACTTAACATTCAATCACATTCAATTAATATTCAATTCATCAAATTAACACAAAATTAACATTCAATTCATCTAATTTATATTTTTTTATCATCATTTAATTTATATTCAAATTCATTAAATTAGCACTCAATTTATCAAATTAGCATAAAAAATCATCCAATAAATGTTCAATTTAACAAACCAACATCAAAGTAACATACAATTTCATTCAATAAACATTAAATTCATCAAATCAATACCAAATTAATATTCAATTCAACAAATTAACATTTAATATTCAATTCATCATATTAACACCAAATTCTAAACCAAACAAATACTTTGTTATGGTGAAAGGGAGAAGAGATGTACGGTAAAAAGAGATGGAGGGAAGGCAATAGAAGTGAAAAATGGTTTGGCATAGGAAAAAATATGGAGGGAAGGCAAGAGAAGTGAAAAATGGTTTGGGCAAAAAATTGGGTGGAAGGAGAAGATAAGGTTTTTGTGATTTGTGGACCACAATATAAACTGAAAAATAAAAAAAATAATGTATTATAATTTGTGGGGTGTAAATGTAATTTATAACTGAAAGAATTAAGACTGGCCGAAGAAATGGACGACCGATCGAGGGTTAATATCGCACTTTTAGCCCTTAACTATCAAGCTTTTATCCCTTAAA